AGGATAAGCAGAACCAGAGTTGGGTCACAGGTTGGTGTAACCAGGATGTCAATGTCAAACAGTAATTAAGAAATACACTGTAACAGGCTGAAGAGAGACTGGGGTAATAGTACATTTGAATAACTGTGGCGAGGCTGGCTGTAGTTAGGCTGCACATAGTGTAGAAGTGCTGCATACAGGACTATTAGACAAAGACAGATGAGCTCAGGCCCGTGTGCATGTATCCGCCTGACACTGAAGCAAACCAAGTTGAAACTGTGAGCACCCTGAGAGCTGGTCTTGCAAATAGCACACCACGTGTTTACCTTGAATGCTGGTGTTTTATTTGCGTGAGTCAACCTTGCATGAAATCCATAACTCATTTACAAGGCCTCCTTATGATGTCAGCATCAAACCTGTAATGTCCAGAAATGGGGTGTGTGGAGGGAAGGGAATTTTCACTACGTAGATCCAAACAAAAGCAGGTGATAATTGCTAATAAGTGTGTATATTCTAGTCTTTGCAGCAGACCTTGATTTTTCATTATTTCTTCATTTTTATTCACAGGGAAAGACCAGAAAAGAAGAAAGACAAACGACATACACTCGGGACTCCTCCTAACCACCCTAGTCATTTTCAGCACATAAACACAAAACAGCAGTTGTTAAGATATAGGTAGAGGCACAAGACATAAATATTTAATTTATAGAAGGTTTACAGAAAAATCAAAGCAGATTTCAGGTGGTTCTCAGCTGTTGTGGCAGATACAGAGAATCCTAAAGTCAGTTAGAGCTGCAGCCCTAATCTCTACTCTGTAAAGTTACTGCATGCAGCAGAAAGTGTCCTTCTATCTTCCCTTCTGAAATCATCAAAGATGGTTTGATGTTCTCCTCTAAGCTTTTGAACTCACCATGAACTATACCCACAGCTTAAGTTTGTTTGCTGCCCAAACTGGATGTGATGTGAAGACACCCGTAGTGCTCGTGTCCCAAGACTTTTTTCTTTGAAAGGAATAGTAAGACTTGCCTCATTCCTCACAACTTATCTTGGTACAGACAGAGTACTGAACACTACACACACACACACACACACACACACACACTCTGGCAGATAGAGTTTCCCTAATTTTTCAGCGTCCCCATGTCCCTGGTCTATATTGCGGCGGCTAGTTCTTCAAGTTTCCGACCAATACCAACTTGACTTTCTCCTCCTGTGCTGCTAAGAGGAAATGAAGAGATGATCTCTTCGCTCAGCTGCACTCACTGCAAAACAGAGTCACTTTATGGCATACCTAAAGCCCAGAAGCAACAACAGGATACGAGTGGTGATTATGTCAGGGTGAGCTGCTTAAACCAATAAAACGGTTCAAATTCCTCAACAAAAAATACCAATGAGGCCCATTTGCAGGTTAAAAAAGATGACACCTGTTGGTTTTGATTAAATATTATAATGCTGGTAAATGCTTAACTGAAAACATTCTCTTGACTGGAAGCCTTTTACCAAAATAAAGGCTCTTTCGTGCAGAACGTTTCCAAAAGCCAACATAAACTGTAAGGATAACAAAACAAAACCTTCTCTCAACAGCATCTACTAAAGGGGACCACAGGCGTCTCTCCTGACAGAAACTACACAATGTGCAGTTGCAGAGTCACCACCTGGCATGTGTGCGTGTGTGGGCGTGTGTTTACACGTGTGTTACCACAGCTCTCTCTTTCTCACACACATACACACACCTGTTCTTTCCTTGACAGTGGCAGCAGAGCCAGGCCTGGGCACTAAACAAAGCTTCTTTTTGTACAAACACGGACATCATTTGATTTCTTATGCAGTACTCCCAGGACTGCCTCTGCCAAAACCCAAACACACTTGTTTGCTATAGCCAAAAAAATATTATTTAAGAAGTACTGGATGGAGAAAGAAAGGTATGCACGGGGTGTCATCTGGTTCTAATGCAGGGCCTGGTGGTGTGGATTACAGGCACATATTACAGGAGAACTCAGGCTGACCCCTCATCTTTATCCTGGGGGGGAAATGGGAACCAACAATAATGATGGGGGAATGAGGGTCCAGGGGCCTTGGTAGGAGAGGGGTGAATAGAGAGGCCTTTGGGCAGCCTGCCACCCCCCATGATTAGTGTCCTTCTTCATTGAGGCGGTTTCTCTGAGATCATTTCGAATAGCAAAAATGAAACACTTTCCGGCTGAAGGCCTTTCAATAATACTAAAAAATGTCGCTGCTCTATGTATTTTCTGTACTACGTGCTCTACCAGGGATTCAGCAGGCTGTTAAAATAACTAAACACACCTTCCATGTTGGTCAAAGAGTATAATGTGCTTGTTTTATCACATTAAATGCAATAGGCAGCAGGCAATTCAGCAAGCACTTGAGATTTACTGCACTCTGCCACACTGGAAAGGGAGGGGGCCTGAGATAAACAAACTAACAGGAAAGTCAGAACTGGTTGAGTGAAGAGAGACAACCTCGACAGCAGCTCATAAGGCTGGCTACTAATGTGGGAGCTGGGCCAAATAATCAACTTAGCAACAAAAACATTCCTTTGACAGAGGCAACAAACGTAACACGGTGTGAAAAGGACAATGATCAGTCCAACAGCATAAATACAAAGAAACCTTTTGGTTCCTTTTGCATAAAAGTTGCAGCTCTCACCTGTAGTATCTGGACTGAAGGTAAGTGGAACACACCGCTTTGGACACATGGCTGGCAGAGCCAAAGTCAATGACCTTGACCCTGTAGGGCTGTCGAGAAGGGTCCACCAGCATGATGTTTTCTGGCTTCAGGTCAGCGTGGATGAGCCCCAGGCTCTTCAGTTTCATCAGCGCTGTGGCCACCTGCTGGAGCACGGGTCTGATGTATTTGAGCGGCAGAGGGCTGAACTTGTTCTGCTTGAGGAAGTCGTACAGGTTCTGTTCCAGCATCTCAAATACCAGGCACGTGTGGTTTTTGTGCTGGAAGCACTCATAGGCCCTCACAAAGTTGTAGTCATCTGCACTCTCGGTGCTCAGTCGCGCCAGGATGCTGACCTCTATCTGACCCTGCCGTGCATAGGACGGGTGGTTTTTTAAGATCTTGATTGCAACAATCTCATTGGTTCCCCTCTTCCAGCATTTTACCACCTGTCCAAAGGTTCCTCTTCCCAAAAATTCCAGGACTTCGTAGGTGTTGGTCATGGAGCACAGCACCTCATGCTGAACCAGCTGATAGTCTCCCTCATTGTTAGAGCCACTGTTTTTGGATGTTGCCGTGGAGGTGGCAGTGGCCACGGTGGCCACAGTGGCACCGCTGGCTGCTCCGTTCTGGATCATCAGTGGACCGTGCTCCTCAATGATCTGCACACTGCTGTTGTTATCAAGCTCCTCACTCTTTCGTTTAAGCCCGCATCTCTGATAGGTATCTAGCAGGCTGACCGTACTGCGGCGTGTCAGGTTGTGAACACCAACTCCGACACCCAGTCCTCCGCCGCCGCCTCCACCACCGCTACTGTTGCTGCTGCTGCCTCCACCCCCGCTGCCCAGCAGAGACCCCACGGCCCCTGAAGTGCTGCTGGCTGTGGTGACCACAATGTGGCCCGCACTGGCTGGGAAGATGAGCGCTTGCTCGTAGGGCAGGGTGGAGCTGGCAACCTGCAGAGAACTATTAATGCCTAAGGGGCCGCTGGCGGCCGACACGTTCTTACTGCTGTTGTGGCTGTAGACTTTGCTGTGTGTGCCGTACCCTGTCATATCCCAGTTACACCTCTGCTCCACCTTCAGTTTCTTCACGCTAAAGAAGGCACTTGACTGAAGAGTGTGGGGGGAGAACACTTGCACTTGCGAGGCCATACCTGTGACACAACAGAGGGGAGGAGCACAGACAGGAGGGGAACGAAAGTGAGAGGTTAGGAATTCGAGAGTGTCTGAAACACGAGTGGTAGCTACCAGCTTTAAATAAAGACAGCTTAGGTCAAAGAAGGTCATTTAAAACACCATGCATATATTCAGTGAGATCAGCAGGTTAAGCTTAGATATTTAGATATTTACTATTGTTATTATAGAGTATATAAATATAAATGTATGTATATATGTATACATATATGACTTATTAATGTAATTAAACGAACATCTTACCGATAAATCACCACATGTCAGAGATCACTTTTTAAACAATATTTGATATGAGAATATACGTAATACAAACATATATTAAGTTTTATTATTGATGGTTGATGATTCAAGATGGAGCACCACTTTAAAGCTTTGGCTCATCATGGTTAAAAGTGTAGAGTTTTACAGAACAGAAGCGCTCGGCACTATATTTAGCCAGCCAGCCATATCATTAACACGTGTGATTGACTGCAAGTTCAAACGTGTCCATCCTAAAGTGCACTTTATCCTTTATCCAGTGTACAACCACTCTTTGAACCAAAATATATTTCTTATATTTTAACCGTAAAAATGTGTAAACAGTAAAAAATAAGGTTATATACAGTTCTTTTGACTACTGTAAGAGCCCCCCTCTTACAGTAGTCTCTCCATTACAGCTATTAGGAACATAAGCAAATGTCTGAGAGTTGAGTTAAGACATAAAAGTAGTGCAGGCCACAAAAAGTTATGGTGAAGGAATTATTGCTATTTCCTTTTACACTACTCAATCCATTCCTTGCATCATTGGTACACAATTGTTCAGTTCAGAGAAGGGGTAAAAAAAGACGTCATTCTGAAATACGAGGAAACTGGAGAGGGGCATTGAATCCCCTCAACTACGGATCCAAAAGACAACTACACAAAAGCAGAAAAGCAAAGGGGCAGCGCACTGAACTCCTGGGAACCAATGGACTTAAAATAAGCAAAACCTTCTTCAAGCAAACAACTGCCCCAAAATAGTCCCTTTCTTTTACCTCTAAGTTGTTTTGTCCAACAGGCCTGAATGTTACACAGGAATGATAATCACAGCACGGTTATACAAGGCTTGTAGTAATGTTATGTTTGAATAGTTTCCTGTAAACCCTGAATTAGTTTACTGTTAACAAACTAAGAGCTTCCACCTGGCCATCACAGCCCACACACACGACCAGACCTTGCTGTTCACAAACTGATACGTGATTACGAGGACTGCAATGGTCCCAGCAACAAAAGTAGACCTGCATGCAAACAACTGTCAACCTCCTTATGACAATTCTGGACATAATGAAAGCTGGAAATCTTTTGGATCGTTCAAAGACAACAAAAAGACTTGCATGATTGTGGGCTCCATTCAACAGACAGAAAGCTGAGAGGAAGGGACATGCCTGGTCACTTTGTCATTATTAGCCTCTTAAGTGGTGATGATGATTAATTCAGTAGGACGCTGGCAGCTATCCAACACGCTACGCCTTTCTCTGTTTTTAAGCCATACCTCTCTTTTTCCTCCTTTGAGCTTCTTTGTTTACTTTAACTTAGGTGTTATGTGTCCTGTCAGTTGGTCTTAATTCAAAAGCTGTGGGTTTGAAAAAGCACTGTGCATTCAGAGGCCAATTGTAATATTGATGCTGATGTTTTGATGCAACCAAGCCACAGGAGCTGCACATTCTTGATGTACTTGATTACTTTTTTTTCTTATTCCTACTTTGAGTGCAAACACAGTTACTTCACATCGATGTCTATATGTGGTAGACATAATGAAGAACGTCCGCTTGGCTATTAGGGGCAAGGACCTCTGCTAATCACATAAGCCCAGTAGGCCAGATGTCACTCCTTGGATTACTAATTCTAGGGCCTGTTCTTTAGGCTAAAAATAATTTGAATGATGCACTGTGTTACAGAGAGGTGTCAACAGTGTAAGATTAAAAGCCTTAATGGTAATCACAGACACACAGTAATGGACATAAAGACGGATGGACAGACAGACCAAGTGGCAAATTGCATTATTGTGTACTGTATCTGGCAGGCTGACTGTGGTAAGTTTAGGTTTTACAAGGCCAGATCCAGGCTAGCTGCTCTTTGCATCACATGAATTCTTCATCACCCCCCAAACCCCTCCCTTCCTGGTCACTCATTGACTCTCTGTGAGCTCTAACACTGAGGTCAAAGAGTTCATTTCACACTGACTACACGGTACATTGAACTGGAGGACACACATGAATGAGGCAAAAGCCTCAGAACCGCAGCTAGAGAAGTTAGGTTCAAATCTATGTCTGGAAACGAGGATGTTCAGCTTTGACCTGATGAGAAAGTTTGCACAATTGCTGCAAGACTAAAATGTGGGACAAACAACAACAGAATTTAGAGCCTGGTGGAGAACACTGATAAGTAATTAAATGAACCGCAAGTAAGAGGTCAAATGGGTGGAATGTTATCTCATGACAACATACACGGCAGCAACAATGTGACCAATTATACTTCATCAGCAAAGCATTTCCAGCCCTCATGAATCATTCTTCACCTAATCTGATGGTTTAGCGTTGATGATCAAGCACAGCAAACAAACAAACCCCGTCCACTACTGACAGAAACAATGCAGTGCAGAAAAATATAAGGTAGAGTTGAGAATGTGTTTGCATTTTTGAACCATAAAAGAGCAAAACATATGCATAGTTGTTGGAATACCTTCACCAGTTGCTGTAACCCATTTAAATTGCCTAAAAGAAAACTAAATGTCCTAAATGCTGCAATTTAACAAATCACACAGGCATTTTTCAGTCAGATAGAATGTTGAAATGTTTTCAGAGAGATTACTTTTCTGTCAAATGTTTGTTAATCTTCTTTTTTGGGAGGATCTGGGCCATGCGAGGGGGAGAAACAACTGAATAAAAGGAATGGAGAATGGAGAGGGGACATAAGTGGCCGGCACATTCTGGCCTGTGACCTGCTTCTGTTTTCTCTTTTTTATTAAAGCCCTCATTTATACTCTGCTGACAACATAACAGGCAGTATTGATGAGACTGTCAGAACATGCTAAGCAGTCTATTGTAATTCTAAATAGCTCCTATTCAACTTATCCATGACTTGAGCCAAAGTTCCACCATTCATTTCAAGCTCTTAACTAGGGTGATGTTAATAAACTGGATGCTTAAATATTTTGCATCCAAATCTAAATAGGTATAAATCAATATAAAGAGAGCAATAGTATCAGTGTTCCTGCTGCACCAGAAGGTCTTAGTGGACAGATAAAACACCAAGACCCCATCTGTCACCTGGGAGACTATGTAGAGACAGTAGTCAGGTCTGTCTGGTCGATGTCCCCTGGCTGGGATATATTTGGATTACTTCCTCAGGCCTAATGGCTACAGTTAATGTCACCAATGGAGACGCTATGATGACCCTGTCACCCTGCTGTTGACGTGAGCAGTACTGAACAAAGTGTCTGTGTGAGTGTGTGTGAGTGAGGGGCTGTTTACAATGGGATGTGTTGAGGAAAAGGATAATGACATGACTTATTGCTGTCTAGACGAAGCATTATCTCTCCCTTTCTTAATGTTAATGTTAAGTGTATACTGCACATGGAAGGACAATCTAACATGGCCTACATTGATAGAACATCTTTATGATATTGTGGTATTAATGTCTACCTATTTCCATTCCTATATTCCTTTATTCCTCGTTATGTTTAGCACTGTCTTAAAAACAATTAAAAAAAAACACAGTTATTACGAAAGTGTCTATTGGCAAGCATCTGGCAATATGATAAATATGGCGATACAGAGGCAACAATATGATATAGTGCAATATTATGCAATACTATAGGCAGTTTGATATATTGATTTTTAAACAATTTAATTATAGGTCACCTGTAATTTATTGTCAGCTAATTCCACCCTCATTCATTCAAACGTGGCATGTTTCCCATAAGTTAGTATACAGTATATATTACACAAATATATTACAATACCATATACATGCAGTCTTTACTGCTCTCTTTGTGTGAACTGGACCTTGACGTGAAACGGTCTCCCTTCACCCACCCATTACTACTGACCGTCCTGTTTGCTTATTAAAGCTCTGTTTTCCATGATTATTTATAGAATAATGCATCAGAGGAGGTCAGAGGCTGCTGCCCAATGGGCCCTTATGTTCACGCTCCTGACTGCAGAACTTTGCTCACCATTTCTCTTCATGCATTTATAACACACACACACACACACACAATAAACAAAACTATTTATTTTCTGTAAATGCCCAGCAGGAAAGGCAACCGTGAACGCAGTTTGACCAGGCCAGAAATTCCGGAAAGGCAACCGTGAACGCAGTTTGACAGACAGACTGGCCAGAAATTCTCAACTTGTAAATCAGCAGAATGCCAGCTGTTAACTGTGACACTCCCTAAACTCTCCCCTTCCTAGAAACAAACAGCCAAAGCTGTTAACTGTGAGATAACATGTTTGGGCCAAATGTGATATTCAGCTCTGTTGGCTGTACACAGCGTTAATATCCAATATTTACATGTCCTGTCTCAGATAAAAATGTCAAACCTGGTTCCCTATAGCGGGACATCCGTCAGCAGATAAGACGTCTGCTGTTCTCCCTGTAAGAGTGCTCATAAAACGGCAGGTGTGAAGAAAAACATGTGCCTTGTTTATTGTGCCAGGTCAGCCTAACCAGGCGGTGAGGGGAGAAGAAACATGAGAGGAGGAGGACGGATAAAAGGGAGGAGACGGTGGTGGATCTGATGGCGCTGGATGTCTATTTAATCAAATCACAAGTGCAGCAAAGGTACAACGCCAAACACACAACTGGTTCGCTACTGAAAGAAGGAAAGACAGAAGCAAGGGAGAAAGAGAGAAATAAAGAAAGAAAAAAGACCTTTCTGATACCAGGGAAAACACCAAACAAGGAACAGAAAAAGGGAAATTATTGGTTCAGAGCAGAA